GTCAGGAGAATTTACATTCGAAGCCCTCAACTTGGTATCCATGCGAGGCGAGAAGTAGCAGCCATCCTGAAAGAGCCGCTAAACTTAGATTAAAACATTGTAATTAATATAAAATGTTAAGCATATAAAAATAAAAATAATACAAAAAAAAAAAAACAATTCTTATACTTTTTAATATATTTTTCTTCGGGAAATGGGAAACCTTTTTATTCAACTTTTCACTTTTCAGCTGAGCAGCCCCTGGTCAAAAACCATGATTATGGCACACTCAGCAATTTTATTCTCAACTTTTTAGCTGTTACTCACTTCTGATTTTTATATATATATTTATATATTATTTTTCATTAAAACTATATTATATATTTTATTATGAGCCATATTTTTATTTACAGGTATAAATATGTATGTATGTATGTTTCCGTGCGAGGCCGGAAAGCTTTTCTTTTTCAGCATATATAATAATAAAATAACCAAGTACAATATTAAAACAATAAAGTAATAAGCCCGACTAGCTCATCTGAGACTGGGTTGATGTAGTGGGTCGACGCCACACGTAAATGGGCGCCTAAGAAAAGAATAAAGGAGAAGAAGGAGATCTAAAGAGATGGCCGTACGAGGATTTCTTTTGCGAAGTCATTCCATGCGAAGCCGCATCGATCACTTCGAGCCTGTTACGTACGCCCTTCCCCATACCAAGATTAACCCCGGCAAAACAACTGCCATTAGTTGAGGGTAGGGGCCGTAATGACTAACCACACTGCGATTGATAAAAGCAAAACAGCAAAAACAATTCGACAACTCATGGGTGTCGCGTGGCCAGAACAACGACCACGATCGACCTGCTCGTAACCGTAATCCAGTAAGGTGGCAAAGTGCACCAGCCGGCCATTGACTCCTAAAATAGGGGAAATGGAGAAACAGTACCCCTAGGTGGGAACACCTAGTTAATTCATCCAATATGGGGGCTAGCGAAAGCTCTAGTCCGGTATAAAAGACCCCAGCCAAATGGAGAAAGACAGAAATTGTTCTGATCTCTCCATGACGGTGGTCTAGAAGTGCAACTCCCGTCAACACAGACCACGACTGGAAGAAGGGTGGTGTCCAGAAGGATGTCTTGACGTTTCCCTAGGATCAACTTCACCCAGGAGAAAGTCCCGATAACCGGTACTGCGATCGACCACAATCTGGAGGAAGTCAACCAGCAAAATCCCGAAGGACGAAAATAACTAGTGAACCAAGTGAATGGCCTAAGGACCCCAAGATGGGTAGCAAAACGTCTAAAGTGGCCGGCAGCACCGCCAATGTGATTAACACAGTAGAGATCGTTGACCACCAAGATGATATTCAGGATGTCAACAAGACCATGAAGCTCATCGTTGGACTACTCCTGGTTATAGTGCTCCTTAAGGTTGTAAAGATCTACAAGCGCTCTGTCCAGAGACGCCGCGACCAACATCATGCCCTGGAGAAAGTGGTGACCCACATTGGAGCATAAGCCGAGCCGATACAGTGAAGTGAAACCACCAAAAAGACAATAAAAGCAGCAAAAAGACAATAGAAACAATACAAATAATAATAAATAAATTGCACTCCAATATTATAAACAAAAAAGTGAATCGCCAAAACAATCAAAAACAATTTGCGAGTACATGCATTTCTGAATGCAAGTGTAAACAGAACCCCCAATTACATACGCTGAACAAGAAATTGGAGCTGCACCGACCAGCCCAGCCCGAGCATTGGAACTGACGTGTGCCTCAGTGGAACTCGCATACGATGCATACATACATACATATCTATACAGCGATAGTGTTATTTTTTTTGTGTAACATAATTTTTGTGTTTTGTTTTTGTAAACCGCCTTCAAGTCTTGCACGTATATATGTATATAAACCAATTATAAAATCTCCCAAAGCCCAGGATCCGGAGCGTCGAGATCTCATCGCCCAGGATTAAAAAGAGGGTAAGTTTGTCGGAACACGGTTCCTTTTCTCATACATACATATATATATATATATATCCGTGCATCATGATTACATCAGAAGCTTTAGCAAAAACAATAGACACTGATCCACAATTTAACGTAAGAATTTTATACTTGTTATCAAAAGCGACCCTACCAATAACAGTGAATGAATTGGAATACTTATATATTGAGACCTTCCGTCTAGATTTTTCTCCACTTGCCCACTGTAAAAAGACCGAAAAAGCTATCATTATCTCTACCGTTCCAACGGTCATTGTTCTTTCCCGTCTGGATAAGAATTTGTTTTTGGGCAATGTTAATACTTTCCTAGTTAAGACAAAGAATTAATCTGTTAGGAATACATGTAATAATATATAATATCCACATATAATAATTGTTTCATATATATAATCATTTAGATATACTTTTCTTTTTATACCTTTTTTTATACATAATAATTAAATGTTAATTTTTCAGCGGCCAGTATCAGCCTTGTAATTGTATGACAATTGCAAGAGCCCTCTGAGCGACGTTTGCAGTCGTGAATAGTCAGCATTTTGCTGATGTGTGCACCTTCACAGGTGGTCAAATCGATACTCTCCGCTAATACAATAATTGTCAATTAATTTAATCCCTATATGAATTAACCAATATTATGTTATTCAACACCGGCACACGCCGACATAAATATTATTTAATAAATTTATAATGTGAAAAAGAATTCAAAACCATGGTGTGCTAGAACTCTAACAAAGGGGGTGTGCTGACGCGAGGAGTGAAGTAGGTCAAGAACAATGACATAACTTTCGACGGACAACCTTGACAATAGGGGATCGTATTGCGCGGCCCGCGACGATCCATTGGCACACGAATGTGTGAAGGGGAGGGAATATGGCCAAAACACAGCCCGATCGTAATGCGATCAAGCGACAGCTAAGCTTGTGGGGCAGTGTGGACTGACGACCGACGAACTTTATGAAGTAATATTATTTTCCAGGCACTTTTAATATTTATTCTCGTTATGTTGGAGAGGAGAGAGGCTTACCAAGATCCCACGACCCGAATACGACGTAGCTTATGCCGGCAAATGGTGCCAGAATATCGGACGCCTCTCCCTCGACCCAAGTCCCTGTCAGGACTCGGGCACTAATATGCCCACGTAACAATAGCGAGGAACACACTCGCGCCCACCTACGTGTTAACGTAGTTCTCTACTTATAAAACGACTGCATTGGATTACCAACGGCCAGCCGGCCCTTCAATATTATGACTGCAGCGAGGGACTACCCCCGCGACCACATACTTGTATCGGCCAGCCACCCGGCAGTTAACAATTCACTGCTCCTGCTCCGGGTCTCCCCGCGCCCACGAGCTCACAGGCCGCGATTAGTAGGCCAGCCATAACCCTAGACTGCTGCACGTCAGCACCAATAGGGGAATACAAAAGTTAATTTAGAACAGCTTGAAATAGGCGTCCCTATATATCTACACTGACCTCCGGAAATCCTTTTTTTTATTTTCTTACCATTTTTAATTTAATAGTTTTCACACCAGCTTTTGCACGAACACCGCCAAAGATTAAATTTCTTATTCTTTGGGCCGCGACTAACGGCCTTCATAGAAACTCACTCGCTAAATCTGGTATTTTTTCTAGTACTTCCTTAGCTCATCTTCATCTCACCGCGCTGAAAAACAGACACGACGAAAAGCGTTAGTCGCGTATTGGCTTCTCGCTCACTGTGAGTACTATGCTTAAATTTGTATATAAATATTTTCAACGCGGACTTTCGCAAGCTAAATGAAAGAACGGTACCCGACAGGTACCTGATGCCAAATTTCTCAATGATATTGGGGAACATTGGCAAAGTCAAATACTTCACTACGCTCGACCTGAAGTCCGGCTACCATCAAATTACGCTCGCTAAACGCGACCGTGAGAAAACGTCGTTCTCGGTAAAAGCCTAGTACTCAGATCGACGAAAACAGCGAGCTATCCATAGGAGTGAGCGGGAGGCAAATACGCGGCTAACGCTTTTCGTCGAGTCTGTTTTTCAGCGCGGTACTTAGATGAGCTAAGAAAATACCAGAAAAATACCATATTTAGCGTGTGAATTTCGATGAACGCCACGAGCTGCGGCCCAAAGAATAAGAAATTCAATCCTTGACGGTGTTCGTGGAAAGGCGATGTTGAAACTAAAAACTAAAAATAAAAGGAAAACCTCAAAATCGGATGCAGGAGGTCAGTGCAGATGAAATAGGACGCCAAATCCAAGCTTATGCCCTTTATTGTGAGACTTCACCGACAGGAAACCATTCCACAAAAGGGTCAAATTCGCAGAATAGTTGAAGTGCTGTAGGAGATCCACTAGAGAATCCCAGTGGGAAGGAACATGCCGAGTGGGACTTCAATGCCTACATGGACATCCTGCCGGGCGCGTCCCCGCAAAGAAAGTAAGATCTGGCCAAAAGAATTTGGTTGCGTTGTACTAACAGAAGTATCTTTTTAGCAGAACCAGCAGTAATACGATCTCCGACGACCTCTCCATTAGGACTCCGGACACCACTACCACCAGCTACTTGGCAGCTTAAGCGGAGCTGGAGGACCTTCTGGCTTCTATAGGGAGGAGGAAAATAGTGCGCCCGCTAAGGAACAGTTGGAGAAGCCATAGACAGCCACTGCCAGGATGCTAAGCGACTTCCTGCAGCATCAGCGGATCAACCCCGTTCTCCCACTTCCTCAAGGTCCAATATGCCTATTGGGACTCGGAGCTGTAATGCGGTGGAGCGGGAAAGATGGCGAAGCATCCGTGGGACGAGAAGGAAGCTTTAAACTACTAATTTACATAAATGAAAACATTTGTTGAACATTCCATTTATTTTTATTTAAATTTCTTTGTGTACCAGTAGACTCCTCCTTTTTAAATTTCTCCAATTGATTTGTTTTCCGCTTGGCAACAAACCCAGCTTCTTGACAGTAAGACCATGCTATATGCATTGCGGGTGAACTTTGAAAACTTCGGTCACACTACACAGAACAAGATTTTTCGACTAGTGAAACTTTTAGCCGATCTGAGTACTAGGCTAAACGGAGGAAAGTATGAGTTCCGAAGACTTTCATTAGGGCTCACAAATGCGGCCTGCATTTTCCGCGGTTTTCGTCGATGTGAGTACTAGGCTTAAATTTGTAAATCTAAACATTTTCAACGAGCGGCCGCGTGTCAGGTCGTGCGTGTTTCGTGCCACGGCCTATGGAGAACTCGTTGGATATCGGATTACTGGTGGCTTTGCCAAAAAGATTTATATTAGTACAAAGTAAAAAAATTCTTTTAGCCAGAACTTCTTTTCTTGGCGTGGACCCGTTTGGCAGGATGTCCATGTAGGGACCGAAGTCCCACTCGTCATGCTCCTTCCTATTTGCCTCTCGTTTACTCCTATGGTTAGCTCGCGGATTTCGTTGATGTGAGTACTAGGCCTTATGGGGTAAGCTCGGTTTTTATACATACCCTTCAGTTCTGCAGTAGGGACGCGGTGACATGGCTCAAGGCAAAAAGCTTTTTGTTTTTTTTTTGTGCCTAAATCGCTGTGCCGCTGTTGACGTCATTAGAGAAGTCGGCGCAGTGTAGAAGACTGCCTACGAAAACGATCGTGCAACAAAGAGAGGCAGATATTCGGAGCTTCCCTCTCTTTCTTTGTCTTATAATCTGCCTGCACTCGGCGCTCTCAGAGACAAATTTCGGCAGGTCCGTTATTTCATTTGAGTCTCTCCGTTATGTCCGGCTAGCGACTAATGTTTCGGCGGAAAAGTTTTCGTGGCGCAGCGACTTGTGAATGCCCTAATATTTTAGGAGCATTATTTTATATCGAAGAAAAACAACCAATATTGTTTTATAAAAGTAAATTATTTGATTATAGTAAAATTAAGTAAATTGAATTTACTTTTAATGTTGTGCTTACGTATTATACATTAATATTACAATATAATTTTTTAGTTAAGTTATAGAAATTAAGTTCGTTAAAATTTATTTTAATATTTTTTTAATAGTACATTTTTAAAGAATTCATTTTGTATTTTTTACTCAAAAAAGTAAAAATTATGTAGTCGGATATTTTTCGCTTTAGAAAGGGTATAGGTGCAGTGACACGCGCCAACAGCGAAGAGAAATTAAAAGAAATCATGTAAAGGGGTGAGAGGAATACTTGGTTCATTCTGTTTGAGTTATTGAAAGGGAAGCAGTCATTTAAATTGTGCGCAGCAGATTTACTTCTTTCGTTTTTTAAAGTGAAAATAATAAAGTCAGGTAAGTGTTACATTAAGTTGAAGATGTTGTACATTGATCTTAGTTTAAAGTATTGAGGAGCCTTGGCCAAGGATTCGGAGGACCCGGACAAAGGTTTAAGGAAGGCGATGACCAATGTAAAAAGCAAATTAACGTAACATAAAATTAGGCTTACTTACAATAATTGTCCTTTAACAGAAAACCTGAATAACATTATTTAATTAAAATATATTTAAAAGTATATACAAATTTATGTATTTTAAATTCTATAAGTAAAAACTCATATGAAAAATTCTGATTTTCACAAGTGATTTCACTTGAGACGTGTCACTTGCAAGTGATTTCATAAGTGTAGTAGGCCAGCCATAACCCTAGACTGCTGCACGGGATCACGTCAGCACGAATAGGGGAATACAAAAGTTAATTTAGAACAGCTTGAAATAGGCGTCCCTATAAATCTACACTGACCTCCTGAAATCCTTTTTTTATTTTCTTACCATTTTTAATTTAATAGTTTTCACACCAGCTTTTGCACGAACACCGCCAAAGATTAAATTTCTTATTCTTTGGGCCGCGACTAACGGCCTTCATAGAAACTCACTCGCTAAATCTGGTATTTTTTCTAGTACTTCCTTAGCTCATCTTCATCTCACCGCGCTGAAAAACAGACACGACGAAAAGCGTTAGTCGCGTATTGGCTTCTCGCTCACTGTGAGTACTATGCTTAAATTTGTATATAAATATTTTCAACGCGGACTTTCGCAAGTTAAATGAAAGAACGGTACCCGACAGGTACCTGATGCCAAATTTCTCAATGATATTGGGGAACATTGGCAAAGTCAAATACTTCACTACGCTCGACCTGAAGTCCGGCTACCATCAAATTACGCTCGCTAAACGCGACCGTGAGAAAACGTCGTTCTCGGTAAAAGCCTAGTACTCAGATCGACGAAAACAGCGAGCTAACCATAGGAGTGAGCGGGAGGCAAATACGCGGCTAACGCTTTTCGTCGAGTCTGTTTTTCAGCGCGGTACTTAGATGAGCTAAGAAAATACCAGAAAAATACCATATTTAGCGTGTGAATTTCGATGAACGCCACGAGCCGCGGCCCAAAGAATAAGAAATTCAATCCTTGGCGGTGTTCGTGGAAAGGAGATGTTGAAACTAAAAACTAAAAATAAAAGGAAAACCTTAAAATCGGATGCAGGAGTTCAGTGCAGATGAAATAGGACGCCAAATCCAAGCTTATGCCCTTTATTGTGAGACTTCACCGACAGGAAACCATTCCACAAAAGGGTCAAATTCGCAGAATAGTTGAAGTGCTGTAGGAGATCCACTAGAGAATCCCAGTGGGAAGGAACATGCCGAGTGGGACTTCAATGCCTACATGGACATCCTGCCGGGCGCGTCCCCGCAAAGAAAGTAAGATCTGGCCAAAAGAATTTGGTTGCGTTGTACTAACAGAAGTATCTTTTTAGCAGAACCACCAGTAATACGATCTCCGACGACCTCTCCATTAGGACTCCGGACACCACTACCACCAGCTACTTGGCAGCTTAAGCGGAGCTGGAGGACCTTCTGGCTTCTATAGGGAGGAGGAAAATAGTGCGCCCGCTAAGGAACAGTTGGAGAAGCCATAGACAGCCACTGCCAGGATGCTAAGCGACTTCCTGCAGCATCAGCGGATCAACCCCGTTCTCCCACTTCCTCAAGGTCCAATATGCCTATTGGGACTCGGAGCTGTAATGCGGTGGAGCGGGAAAGATGGCGAAGCATCCGTGGGACGAGAAGGAAGCTTTAAACTACTAATTTACATAAATGAAAACATTCGTTGAACATTCCATTTATTTTTATTTAAATTTCTTTGTGTACCAGTAGACTCCTCCTTTTTAAATTTCTCCAATTGATTTGTTTTCCGCTTGGCAACAAACCCAGCTTCTTGACAGTAAGACCATGCTATATGCATTGCGGGTGAACTTTGAAAACTTCGGTCACACTACACAGAATAAGATTTTTCGACTAGTGAAACTTTTAGCCGATCTGAGTACTAGGCTAAACGGAGGAAAGTATGAGTTCCGAAGACTTTCATTCGGGCTCACAAATGCGGCCTGCATTTTCCGCGGTTTTCGTCGATGTGAGTACTAGGCTTAAATTTGTAAATCTAAACATTTTCAACGAGCGGCCGCGTGTCAGGTCGTGCGTGTTTCGTGCCACGGCCTATGGAGAACTCGTTGGATATCGGATTACTGGTGGCTTTGCCAAAAAGATTTATATTAGTACAAAGTAAAAAAATTCTTTTAGCCAGAACTTCTTTTCTTGGCGTGGACCCGTTTGGCAGGATGTCCATGTAGGGACCGAAGCCCCACTCGTCATGCTCCTTCCTATTTGCCTCTCGTTTACTCCTATGGTTAGCTCGCGGATTTCGTTGATGTGAGTACTAGGCCTTATGGGGTAAGCTCGGTTTTTATACATACCCTTCAGTTCTGCAGTAGGGACGCGGTGACATGGCTCAAGGCAAAAAGCTTTTTTGTTTTTTTTGTGCCTAAAACGCTGTGCCGCTGTTGACGTCATTGATGACATTAAAATTTGGCATTAACGGACACTTTTATAAAATAATTAGCCCTTTTTTCGGTGCAACTCTGAATTTTTGTTTTTGACAGTGAAAATTGAAGCATTCACTACGAAAACATATAAATTGATGAGGGGGAACATTTGAAAATGGAAGGTGTCGAAGTAATAGGTGTGTTTTGATTAGCCACAGCTGTTCAGATCTGTTCTTATCGGATTGTAGATATCCTCTATGGGAACCGGGGCACACAGCCGCTTAAAATCGGTATTGCGACTTTAAGCGGATTTATGTGCACATAGAGAATCACTGAAGCGAACAGCTGATCGGCGTAAGCAAGCCGTATCCAAATGGGGAGGACGTGCAAGTTCAGATGCTCCGAAAAAAATAGAAAACGGCGCAAAACTAAATACAATTTGTACGCTAGCATGTGGAATGATATGGATATGATCCGTTGACAACGAATGGAATCAACGGGAAAAGTGAGTAATACACCTTTCCATAGAGTCCGTCCTCTCGAAACACTTCGGATTTATGACAATGAAACTCCGACTCCCACAGGGCACATCCACCATCTACCATCCGATAACAGCTGATCTGAAAACCTATGACTAGTCAAAACAAACCTGTTGCTTCTGCGCCTCCCATTTTTAAATGTAAATCTCCGATTGCCACAGAGCACATTTACCATCTAACATCCGATAACAGCTGATCTGGGTAATCGAACCAAGCCTGTTGCTTTTGCGCCTTCCATTTTCGGTTGTTCCCTGTCATCATTGTTTACGTTTTCGTAGTGAATGTTTCAACTTCCACTGTCAAGAACAAAAGCTCATAGTTGCACTGAACAAACATCGCCTTACTATCGCATAAAAGAGCCCGTCAAATTTGGATGTGGAACTAACTGGAAAATTTTCGGTACGGCAAAACCTCATGGATTATCTGTTCAACGGATGGTACGGGATGGATGGATCTCTGTGAGAAGACGCTATTAAAGGGAAATCTCTAAAGAGTTTGTTAATTTAGCCTAGTACTCAGATCGGCTAAGAGTTTCACTAGTCGAAAAATCTTATTCATTGTAGAGTGACCGAAGTTTTCAAAGTTCATCCGCAATGCATGTGGCATGGTCTTACTGTCAAGCAGCTGGGCTTGTTGCCAAACGGAAAACAAATCAATTGAAAAAAGAAGAGTCTGCTAATGCACAAAGAAGTTAAAACCAAAATAAATGATATGCTCAACGAAGGTTTTTATTTATGTAAATTAGAGTTAGTTTAAGGCTTCCTTCTCGTCCCACGGATGCTTCGCTATCTTTCTCTCGCCATCTGCAGCCCAGCTCCGAGTCCCAATAGGCTGGCCAATAATGGCTGGTGATGGCTCCTCCAGCTGTCCCTTAGCGGCCGACCATATTTTCTCCTCCCGCTTTAGCTATCAAATAGCTGGTGGAGGTGGAGTCCTCAATGGAGAGCTCGTCGGAGATCGAGCGATGTCCGATGTCCCTTTCCACTGGGATTCTTTAGTGAATCTCCTCCAGCGCTTTAATTATTCTGCGGATTTGCCCCGTTGTGGTATTGCTTCCTGTCGGTCAAGTCCCACAACAATGGGCAACAGCTGGGATTAGGCGTCTTTTTTCATCTGCACTGACCTCCCTTAGCCGTTTTTGGTGTTTTTCTTCCATTTTTAATTTTGAAATTCCCCACCGCTTCTGCACGAATGACGCCAAAGATTAATCTCGTATTTTTTCTGGTATTTCCTTAGCTCATCTGAGTACCGCGCTGAAATACAGACACGACGAAAACCTTTAGCCGCGTACTTGCCTCTCGCTCACTCCTATGGTTAGCTCGCGGTTTTCGTCGATCTGAGTACTAGGCTTTTGTCTTGAGAATTCTTGTCTCGTTAAAAAATACAAAAAACTTATTCAACTGAAATAGTTGCTTAGTTTTTGTTGTTATTTAATAATGGAAACAATATAACACATCTTGTTTTAATACTGACTGCAATTGTAAAAATTTTAAATGCAAATTACAGTTGAAATAATGTTTGTAAATTCAATGCATTGTTATTTTCTGATACTGAAATTGTGTTTAATGGTGTTTCTATGTCTGGAGGTATATTTTATCGTTATCGATGGGGTCACACTTAAAATCATATATTTACTACTTTGTGTTCCAAGAATTTAAGTTAAGATTGGTCCATCGCGTACTGCAATTGCAATTTCTGAAAAGTATTGCGTTCATGTTATTATTCAAATTTCCTAGACCATTTGATAACAATGAGTAAAGTTCGTTATCAGCGTCCCCTTAATTTTGAGAAATGTATGTAAAATGGGTATGCTTATTGCTATCATTAAACACCCTTTGATTTAAGCTCCCGAAACTGATGGTGAACTCAGAAAACGTCAGGAAATAGAAAGACTTATTGAACAAAGCGTCGACCAGCATCTTGCGTTGGATGTGCTTGTAAAGTTGTCCGTGACGCCTCACGGATTGGTCAACGACCATTTGCGCAGAATTTTGTGGCCGCAATTGGCAGGTGTCGACGTAAACATCTTAGAACAAGCTCCAGCTCTCGACAAGTTGCAACACCACCCTGAATATAATCAGGTTGTATTGGATGTAAATCGCTCTTTAAAGAGATTTCCACCTGGTATTCCATATGAACAACGCATTGCACTGCAAGATCAACTTACTGTTCTGATATTACGTGTAATCCATAAGTACCCCAATTTGAGGTATTATCAAGGTTATCACGATGTCGCTGTCACGTTTCTGTTGGTGGTTGGCGAAGAAATAGCTTATGCCATAATGGAGCACCTCTCCAAAACGCATTTTTCCGAATGTATGCAGGAGACGATGGAAGCCACTCAGAGACGGCTTATGTTTATTTGGCCTGTCATAAAGTTTGAAAATCCAGAACTTTATAAGTTTTTGCAAAGATCAACGGTCGGAACTTTATTCGCGTTGCCTTGGTATTTGACTTGGTTTGGACACAGTTTAAATTCCTACAAAGCTGTAGTCCGTTTATATGACTATTTTTTAGCATCGCCTATTTATACACCTATATTTGTAACAGCTGCGATTCTACTGTATCGGTCAAATGAAATACTGAAAGAGGACTGTGATATGGCATCAGTGCATTGTCTTTTATCAACGGTATATAATGGTTCCAAAAAACATTCATATCTTACGACTACAATTTTTTTTAGCTACCAGAAGATTTGCCCTTTGAAGAGCTTTTAAAAACTTCGAACAAACTTATGAATAAGTATAGCTTAACAGTAGTAGAGCAAGATGTTGAAAAACTTATTTACCAAGAGTAAGTACATTTAGAAAGCTGTATAAATTTAAACAAAATATTAATTACTTGCAATAGAAAAAAACAGCGGACAGCTGAGGAAAACATGGTCATAGAACGACGGCGGAAGATACCTGGGCCAGCCACAGCAAATCAAATTTCTAGCATAAGCCAATTGCTTACAAATATGTTTACTTCAAAGTCGGTGATATTTACAACTGCGATTTCTATTGTAGTAGGTGTATGTGCATATTATTACAAGAATCAGTACTTGGCGGCAGGTATAAGCTGAGTTTTAACTGCTTATTCTTGTCTTCATTTAAATATGATCTATATTTTGCGGATTAACCAAATTCTCCCAAAAGTTAGTTTAATGATAGGTGTTCGGTTTTTGTAAAATAAGATTAATAAAATAATGCTTAATATAGAAAAAAAGTTTATATTATTTAATTTCCATTCGAATGGGATAACAGGTAGAAAGAAGCGTTTCCGACACCATAAAGTATATACATATAATATTGATCATGATCCCTAGCCGTGTCCGTCTGTCTCCGTATAAACGCTAAGATCTCGGCAACTATAAGAGGTAGAACACTGGGACTTGACATGTAGATTCTTGGGCTTCCTGCGCAGCGCATGTTTGCTTCAGCCGGGTGCCACGACGCTCACAATCGCCCATAACTCTAAAAACCGTATACCGCCCACATTTTGTATTATTTTGTAAAAATACAAGAGATTTTGTTCTTATTAACAATACCCATCTGCACGCAAAAAGTATTCAAATCGGATCATTCAATAAAAAGTTATATCTAATCCATAATTAATAGTCAGCAAACTCAATAGAGGGATGGTGGTTTCACGTTATGTGGCTCGTACTGAAATCTCGTATACGAGGGCAGTCCGATAATTACTTAGCCTCGCCACCCGATGGCGTTACTATCGCAAGAGAAATTTACTATCGTGTAGTTTTTTCTCGTAGACGGCTACTGTCGAAATTTCAGCCGAATCGGACTCGTTGTTTTGTTTTGACTGCGTGTGGAATCGGACGTGTCCGCGGATTTTAGATAAAAGGAAAAAAGCAATATCGGTCTGTGATTCAATTCTTGTTTTTGGAAAGGAAATCGCGCAGCGAAATCAAAGAGCGCTTGGATGCTGTGTACGGCGACTCTTCTCCTTCGATGGCGACCGTCAAAAATTGGTTTAACGAGTTTCAACGTGGTCGCACGTCGGTTTTTGATGAGCCACGCCCAGGTGCCCCAAAAACGGCTACCACGGAGGTTAACGTGAAAAAAATCCACGATCTCGTATTGGCAGACCGCCGATTGAAGATACGCGAGATAGCTGAGACAGTAGGCATGTCAAAAGACCGCGTGGGTCATATCCAGCATGCAATTTTGGGCATGAGAAAGCTGTCGGCGCGATGGGTGCCGCATTTGCTCTCTCCGGACAACAAACGCAATCGTGAGACCACTTCAGAGCAGTGTTTGACGCTGTTTAAGCGCAATCCGAGGGAGTTTCTGCGTCGTTTCGTGATCGTCGACGAAACATGGATCCACATGGGTACACACCAGAGACCAAGGAACAGTCTAAACAGTGGACTTCACCCGGCGAACCTGCTCCGAAAAAGGCGAAGACTGTCCCATCGCACATTGGGCCAGCGAGTCGATTTTTCGACGAAAATTAATGTTAGGTTCTTCAAATTTGGTACATATGATAGTGTCGATGCACATAAAAATATATCTAAGTTTCAGACCGATCTGACCACGCCTTCCCTAGCCGCCCGTATGAGATAGGTTTCCTCCTATTGATACTTGTACGGTAATAAATAATGCTAGCACTCGTTTAATTCAACATATGTTTTTAATTCCTTTTTTAAACACTTAACCTTAATATTAATCAAACAAAAACACCTTATTTAATTTCCCATTGTGACCTTTTATTAGTATCCCTTTTTATTTTATCTTATTCCAATTTTATTATTCTTTATTAAACTTAAGTTAGTTACGTGGAATATTTTGCGTATGAATCGTACAGCAATACGTCTTTGTTGTCATTGAATAAAAGATACTGGTGACTTGTATAGTCAATTATTTCTGATTTTGTTAATAAAATAAGGTGTAGTATGAGCACCTACATTTTCTGTGAATAATTCTATTTCTATTGTTGATTATTATTTTGTTAGGTAAATTTTCTTTAACTACTTGTTATATATGTTATATACTAGATTCGTCGGAAAGTATGTAACAGGCAGAAGGAACCGTTTCCGACCCCATAAAGTATATATGTTCTTGATCAGGATCACTAGCCGAGTCGATCTGTCCGTCCGGATAAACGCTGAGATCTCGGAAACTAGTTTGTTTCAGCAGAGTGCCACGCCCACTATAACGCCCACAAACCATCCAAAACGGTGGCTCCTAAATAAAATAAATAAACTATATTAAATTTATGATTTCGGCCCGCAACAGTAAATATTTATTTACCTACACGTAAATTTTCTGTTGTAGCGTGCCGAATACATAAATTTAATATAGTTTATTTATTTTATCGAATGTAATATCATTTTTCGTCACAATTGTTGATATCAAAAATTTTTGTTAAAGGCGCTTTCGCCACTACTTTTTACCTCGTTAAGAGGTGTTTTTGTGTGATATCAGAAGTTTTTTTTGCACAAGAGTTTAAGTATCCCAATACCATGACTAGGAGTCGTCCCCATGAATATTAAACTTTTTAATAACAAGTTTTATCGCTTCAATTACCTATTTTAATAGCACAAGTGTGGAATCTCAAGGGCTGTATAGTTTCAGATTCCAAGAGAAACCTGTCGTTTCTTATATTTCCCGCCGAACTAGCGGGTTTTTCCAAAGTGGTAGAACAAATAGATCAAGTTTCCTATTTCAATTAGCTTCATGCAAGAAAAGAACTTTAAAACCATAACAGATTTTCCTTTCGAAAAAATCTAAAAAGAATATTTTTCATCAAATTGGTTTTCTTCTTGTTTATTCCAATAAGTATGAAATATTTCGTATACGGAGCTAAAACGAGGTGCACTTTTTATCGCTTAATATCTTCCAAACGGTAATTTTTAGGGCAAAAAGTGTTATATATCAAAAGTTGAGGAATCTCAAGGGCTATATGATTTAAAATTTAAAAAGAAATCGTTCGACTCAATTTTGAGAAAATAGTCAGAAAGTGTTTTAAAAAAGAACTTTTTGTCATAACTCGAAATCTATTATATTCAACTTTACTATATGAAGGGTATATAGCAAATTTAATTATCTTTTCAGAGATATATAGCACGTTTCTGTAGCATTAGTTGTTTAGATACTAAAAGCATTTTAAATCTGGCTTTTTTTGATGCGTATTCTCAGTAAGAATAAAACTAGCTAAACAGCCGGCGGCTTTTATCCCCACCGTATCCAGCAGCTCAAATTTTCTAAATTTTTACTTTTACACTTTCACCGCTTTTTCTCCCATATTTCTATATTTCGAAAGTCTTGGTAGGCAATCTTCTTAGTTAGTGCGATACCTTTCGATTGGTGTATCACTTGTTACGATCGGACCATAATGGCAGATTTTCAATTCTGCGGCTATATACAGTAGTTGTCTCCGCACGCTCTCTTGCGCGCTTCGCCACTACGTGTACTGCCGTCCACAGTGATTTAAAAAAATTAATTTTTTATTTTAAACCTTTATTCTTAATACACAATTAATACAAGACACTTTTAAAACTTGTAAACCGATCGCGGTCTCGAACAAAATAGGACTGCCTTCTTAATTCTAAAAATTTTTCAAATGAACCTCGGCCAGAAGCTTTTCTTTCTTAAGCTTCCAGAACTTTAATTTTTGTTTAGAAAAAAAGCTTTTGCTAAAACTGTCTCATCTCGTTGTGAAATGAAATTATGCTGACCGATGTAATTTGATTGAAAGTCGGAACGCAATATGATTTGAACTTAGAACGCAATACTGTGGGCTTCAAACGAAAGAGTTTGGGCTTCGAACGTAAGCTTGCGTTTACTTTACGATTGGTTTATTTATCTTAGCAGGAAAAGGCAAAGGCGGAATCTTAAACAAAGGCAATGGCAATGTCGCTGAAGGCAAGGGCAACATCGCTGAAATTGAATTCGAAAATTTGTTTATAAATTCCATAAGTGAAACCGTTTGGCGGGTTGGATAACTCTCCCCTTCTAAAATGGATCGTCCCGATTCAACATGAAAATCATTTAATTTATGTCTTAATTCTGTTAAAAAATTTTCTTGGTTAATAGATTTTTCTGGATCTGGCCGTTGTTTTTTGGTTACAAATAATATAGAATTTTCGTATTTTATAAGTAAAAAAATCAAATATATAATGATTAAAATTAATATAATATATAATATAAAGGTAAGTGATATTTTAGTATTATTAATTTTAATGAAAGGATTTAAAATGTTTATTTTTCTATAGAAAGTTCTGAGTTATTTGATAATATTTAATCGGATATTTCATAACTTTTGAAGTGGTTCGTAGTTAAGTAGTTAAGAATTTTGTTTTTCAAGTTGATATATGAAATATTATTCATTTCGGTTGTACCATTAAATGTTATCAAAAATGGACCGTTTAAATGGGAGTTGTTAACAATATTGTTACCATTTATAAGAATGGCGCCATCTTGTATGATGTCTATTTTTTATTTTTTTCTCTTATTTTTATACCCGTTACTCTTAGAGTAAAAAAAGTCGATCTAGCCATGTCCGTCTGTCTGTCCGTCCGGATGAACGCTGAGATTTGGGAAACTAGTTTGTTTCAGCAGAGTGCCACGCCCACTATAACGCCCACAAGCCGCCCAAAACGGTGGCTCCTACAGTTTTGATGCTAGAATAAAAATTTTTTCTTAAATGTATTGTTCTCATCAATACCCAAAAAAAGTTTGCCACGCCCACTTTAACGCCCAAAAACAGCCCAAGCCTGCGACGCCCACAATTTTCATGCTAGATAAAAAATTTTAACTGAAACGTATTGGTCTCGTCAGTCCCTATCGATTGATCTAAAAAAAGTTGCCACGCCACTCTACGCCCATAACGCTTAAATCTGTCTTTGCTGCTTGCTTATCTCCATTTCCCTTTGGTCCCTTTAGCTGAGTAACGGGTATCTGATAGTCGAGGTAATCGACTAAAGCGTTCTTCCTTGTTTTTTATATCTACACCCAGAAAAAAAAGAACGAAAAAAATCAAGAACATTTTTCATGAAATGCGAACAATCCGTTCTCCATTTTTAGTTCTCACATTTCGAACGTTTGTTCACGAAAATTGAACGGTGTTGGTAACAATTACTACCGACGAACAAC